GCTTCTGGATGCGTGCCAAACAAATGTGCACAATGCACGTGTGTGCGCTAACGACTTTTCCGAACCCCAAAATTTCACATAAAGCTGTGTGCTGGAAATCAGAACCCCAAATATTGCTTAAAAAACTTGGTTGGAGGCAAGGACACAGAATGTTTAGGAGCAATGAGCACAGTGGGCACAGCGTCTATATTACTGCTCCCCAGAGTGAAATCTATTCTCCAATAAATTGAATTAATTACCTTTAGCGTAAGATAAGAGATTTATACTGAGCCTGTTGTGGGAACGATACACTTGGGAGGAGAGATAGCAATTCAGGGTATTAACAATTATAAATACAGTTATCACGTTTCCTGAAGGCAGTAATCAGATTCTCAAAGAAAACACACACACAAACACACACCCTCTCTATCACTTTCCCTCTCGTAAGGACTTACAGCACCCCCTATCAGCTTCAACCGTGCACATTTACACTCCACTGAAGCTGTGCAAACCAGCAAACACGACGCGCGTAAAATAAACCGAAATATTGTGCAGTGGAACAGAGACTCGCCTATAATATTTGCCAAGTCAGGTCAGACGAGTCCGATCAGCGGGTAACCACACGTCCATCAAACAGCTCTCGGCTCACACGGTCTGTGAAATAAGTTCTCTCGAAGGCAGAGCCAACACATACAAAAAGGGTGGACATCACCATTAAGTCACTCCTAAAGAAGAGAGCTACTTGTAAAAGGCTGATGTGACCCTTTCCACTCTTAGAAATCAAAGGCGCTGTGGTTCATGCCTTGCGTTTTATTAGCATGATGACCAGCGGCCACTAAAAGATCACATCATGTGAGCATTCAAAGAGCTGACATTCACAGCCATTAAAGAGTCGTTTTACATTTTAAGAGCCAGTAAGGGCCCTAATGGACGGCCCCCTCCCACATTTTAACGTTTCGAGCAACCCATCCAAAAGTCGAGCTACTCATGTAATGAATCATACATGTTCACACAATATACATGCGACTTATGAAGAAAAAACTAAACTAATGAGTTTCTTTGGCACTGAGGCGGTTTGCGGAAATCTCAACACGAGCGGTTTCGTCTCTTAGACTTCCCCAAGAGCCCGTATTTGCATCTGCAAGAGCCCTGCCATTTTAGCTCGTGGCTTGAGACGTTCTCTTTAATGCACACACCTGTACGTGTACATGCGGGCGGAGAGTGCGCCCCGCGTTTATTTCAAGACGTGAAGTATGTTGATATTCCTGTTCCTTGGTTTTCTCTTTGAGTGCGATCAATAGGTCTTGTCGCTCCAGGCAGAATCTCTCCATTGTGCAACCTCCAGCTAACTGACATGTTTTGTGCCAAAAGCATTGACATAGCCAAATTAGGGCACTTTGGTTTTCCCCTGCAGACAGACAGACAGACAGACACCCCAGAAAGAGCCCGTGAAGACCGGAATGGAGGTTGGCGTGCAAACCTAAACGGAGTCCACTTAAAAAGTGTCAGTTTACACTCTGTACACATGCGATAGAGTGTATAGAGCGCACAATGTAAACTGACACACACACACCGACAGACTAATTATGTTTGAACTAAACACGTATTTGAGACACAGTATAATGATTCTGCTCGATACACTTACACTGGACGGGTTTTGCTGTTCATATTTAAGCAAGCAATAATGTATGAGATGTTTCAGTATCTATTAGTCACAACAACTGGAAAGAAACCCACAAATGTATTCTGATAAAAAAACTCAAACCAGCTAACTATCTGCTTAATAAACCACATCAGGTGAAATAAACTGGCAGACTAGCAGTGGTTTGAATTTAAAAGCCACCGGCTCTCTGTAAGCCCACCCACTCCTTTAACACATTTTACTCAACTCATGTCTTCACGTTTTCTAAAACGACAACATCAGCATCATTAACAGTGCAAATTTTGACGTGTAAAGACCATCTACTCGATTTGGACGATCATGCATGTGAACCCTATTGTAAAACAGAGATTATGATCAAAATAAACTAATTAAAAATGTATCAGCACTTTGGTTTTTTAACGTAAATAACCACCAGACTATCCAGCAAAATCTGAGCCTTTTAAATAAACTACATAAAGTAAACTTGATAAGCCATGTATGCTTGTGTATATGTGTGACAATAATAGAAAATAGGTGAGGAGTGTGTGTTTGTGTGTGTGTGTGTGTGTGTGTGTGTGTGTGTGTGTGTGTGTGTGTGTGTGTGTTGAGTGGGACAGAGCAGATGAACGTGCGTGGGTCTCACAAAACTGTATGTTATGAATTACGGTTTTATGTTCAGCTCTTCCAGTTTGTTGAAATCAATTATTCACAGCAAATGAGAAAAGTATCATCATAGAAGGATGCATTGATAGTGTTTAAAATAAATAAATAAACGATCAAAACGAACAGGCCTCAATTGTTGACAGATTATCGATTAAAAAAAATAGCTTAAATGTAATAAGTAAACCTACACTCGGCTCACTGTTATTATTTGTGGTTCTAATTAAGTTTAGTTAGGATAGTGCACATAATTACATTTTGCAAAAACAACTTATAGCCTACCTACACTAGGCTAACGATGGTTTTACGAGCTGAAGGTCCTAAATGTTTAATGCACGTGTACATTAAAAAGCAAATCATGTTTAGTTACAGATATAAGTCTGCAAGAATGAAAGCAACTTTGCTGTGCCCCTATACTTCATATTAATGAGGGAATGGCAGTGCGGTCAGTGTGATGAAGGTGACAGTGGTCTTGTACTCACTCGGTAGGTTCTCCCTCTGTGTGAGGGACAGATGCTGTGGGTTGCCTTGCTTCCGTCGGGACATCGCCCCGCATTTACAGCAGCATCTCACGGACACTCGGACTAATGTGTGCGCTCCAGAAGACCTCTCCAAACTTTCCTCCACAGCCCTGGTACTGTTCCACCGCGCTAGTCTAGTCGTTATCACGGCACAAACTAACACTTGTACTCTGTGAACAGACTAAATTGCATTCGACTGTCGTGAGGCACTAATTATGTGCCACTTGACCTGAGATAGCGATGCGTGAAAATCACACCGACCCGCAGCAGCTTCTTTAACCTCGATTCCAAAACACTGTCTTAAAAGTCAAATATTCTTTCTTTAAAAAACCCTAAAACGTAAATGCAGTTGTTGTCCTGCTATAACGGAAATCCAAGATCCGTGGACGGCGGGCTCGCCAGGTGAGAGAAGTCTTTGGCACTGTCCTCCATGTGCGCTTGGCATCAGAGCGCAGAATGGCTGAACCTCTGAAGACAACACCTCCTCTCCAGATCAATCAGGACCTGAGCAATTACGTCTCGCATTCACGCTGCTCACAGGGAGGACCCAGCGCCTGTGTGTGTGGCAGGGGTTGCCTCTGAAGAATGGAATGGGATTCAAGTTCAGGTACGGACGTGATGTGACGCGTGGCGCTGGGGGCGACTAGTGGCGGCAGTCTGGGGACACTTTGGTTGCAAGAAATGCACTGACGATACGTTTTAGAGACTATACGGGATGGCATTTGAGTGCTCGTTTATGTTGCAGGTCAAAACCGTGCATTTCATTAAATGAAATAATATAGCCTACCAACATACTTCAACAAGTTAAATTTGATTTGCACAACTTGCTGATAACAGAAGAGCACATGCTGAATTAAAAGAGCTACACAAACACAAAACCCCATCGGGGTGACATGACGCGTGGTAAAATAATGCAATAAACATTGCATAATAACCGAGTAAGCAACCTAAAACACTGCAATGTATAGAACTGGTGATAAATAAAATAGCCTATATGGTTAAAAGTGATGCGTCACTTTTTGGGACGTCGTTTTACAGGTTTTCACTGTAAATTATCAGGTAAAATAGGCCTAAATGTATGTTTTAATATTCTAACATGTATTGTTTTGTTATATGAAAATGTCGAATATTTTTTCCGTATTGTTTAATTCTTAAACATTTTAAAAAAGCAATTCATGCTTTTTATTTCACTTGTAAAGTGTAAAATAAATGTAGGACTACTCTGTTGTCCGGTTAAATCGAAAAGTAGCCGACCTAATACATTTTTACTTTTAACTTAAAAAAAAAATTCTCAAAACTTCTTAGAATGTCGTGGGGATATAGCCTACTATATATAATAATGCACAATTTTATAGAAATAACGTAAGAACTAGGTATTTTAGCGAAACTAAAGTAGAAACTGTGCTGTATATTTTAATAAAATGCTGTGCTTAAGAAAATAAAAGATGTTACTAACATCATGTGCTGTCTTTTGCATTTAATTGATAGTAATAATAAACATAGTAATTCATAAACCAATCTGTACTACACATTGTATATCCCCAATGCTGAGATTCAAGGTACGTAATTTTGTGTGCTAGGCCCCCTGCACGTGTGTGTCCTGTTTCCATTTAAGCCAATAGCGCCACCTGATGGTCTTTAATGGAACTAGAGCGTGTTCACTGAGACGAGGGTTAGGGCAGGTTTCACCACATCTGCTCCAGATCAACACGAAAACTCCAGAAAAAAAGAGCATAGAAGAGACCGGGGCTAGTTGTCACACGGGCTGTATTAGTCCATCTTGTATTGAAAGTTTTGAATTGAGTCCCATTACATAGGTCTAAATTGCAGTTGTTTTCTTTGTTGGTCTCAAACACTTAAGCCATTTTAGATTTCACTTTGTGAATCATAACTATTTTACAATTTTAGGTATAGATGCTTGTTAGAGAAGCTTAAAATATATTCAAAATCGAAAGTACCTATAAAATCCTATAGCATATCCAATTTAGTCTTAATATTAGAGCCTACAACCAATTTGTTAAGCACATTTTAGAGATTTTAATTAAAAGACATCTTGCCTCTTTCCATCACAGCAGATGAACTATGATAAATGGCATATCACTTCACACTGAAGCAATAACTTGCAAACAGTGTATACAGTCATTGTAGTCAAGCCCCAGAGCAAAGTCAGATTCATCAATAAAACATGATTTTTTCCATTAAGGGTTACCGTTGTTGCCTCTGGGAGAGGAACACCATTATACAATGGCAACACGCAAGACACTGAAAAAAAGTTTATGCTGTTAGTTTGGCCGTGTTTCAATGTGACTTGCCTACATACAGGTAGACTGCATTTTTTGGGCATCACAGACACATTCTCACATGCTCACACTGCTCAGTGACCTGGAACGCATGCATGATTTAAAAATACTCGTTAGGTTTTGAAACACTGTCTCTATCTTCACTCTGAAATGTGTAGATGGTGATCAAGAACCGAACACACCATGCAGGACTTTTTGGGATGCAGAATTTGTAGATATTTCTGTAAAACTCTTAGGTTGACCAAATAATGGCAAACCTACTGCACGCTTGACAATGACATATAAGCATCCAATAAACATCTCAACTCTTTGTGCCAAAAACAAAAAAAAGCTTGGTAAAGCCAATGTAAACATAATGCTATGAAAAACCAAACATCAAATAAACAATAAATAAAAATGCTATTTTAGTAATAATTTTTATATTTAATGTATTTTTTTATTTTATATTTATTTTTTTATAATAATAATAATAATCTAAATTTTGCATTACACTAAACAGACTAAAATGTATCAAATAATATGATTAATGAAACCCTTTTCACACAAATATAACCTTTAATTGTTATTTATACACAATGAGGCAATATTTGCTCATAAAAGGCCTATGTAATCTAATTATATTGAAATAAATGTGTTAAAGAAACTATAAACTATTCAACAAAAGGCATTTCATTCAAACATTTTGAAACAGTTCATTAGTTTACTGTAGCTATTTGTCTTACTGTGGGCTTAAAAACAGTTTATCAGCTGAAACGAAACATCTGGGAATAATATTGTAAATATGGTAGCTTCAACAACAACGGCAAGCAAAATGTTTATGATCTTATTAATTATTGTGGACTGAAGTTCTGACTTAAAATCGTTGTCAATTACGCCCTCTAGTGGATTCATTTGCACAACTCAATCTTCACAATTCACTACCTTTTTTACTCACAAAAACTATCAAGCCTGGTCAATTTTAACATTTAAAATCGATAAACATGCATTAAATTGTGTCTTCTAATTTGTCAAAGCTAAATTCAGTACTGTATAAACAAATTTAGAACCTCATTTAGAACCATTAACAAACAACAATTAATAACAATGACAAATGTGACCCTGGAGCACAAAACCAGTCATAAGTAGCACGGGTATATTTGTAGCAATAGCCAAAAATACATTGGATGTATCAAAATTATTATTGTTTTTACTTTAATGGTCAAAATAACTAGTAGTTCCTGAAGGGTGACCAGGTAACACGAGTAGTAAGGGTTTCATATGTATTTCACAAATAATTATTATTT